CAGAGAGAATCTGATTGAAATATATGACTTTATTAATAAAAGTTAGTATTTGAATTAATAATTATATACTTATGTTAAAGAAGAAAATAGTACGACGGTAATGACGGCATATATGGTGAATTTTGATATTATTTTATGGTATTCTATGCAATTAAAGTAATGCTATTTATTTAATATGTAGGCGTAGGGTTTATTATAAACTTGTAATTTATTACTACTTACATATAGTAGATTTTCTCTTTTCCTCTTGAAAGGCATAGCAGGATGACCCGCCTATTTAAAAATAAATATATTTCTTTGTATTCAAAACATTCAGTTTTAAGGCATTCTTTTTAGATTACTTCCATATTTTGCTTTAAAATAATTAATAAACAATATCGTAGGCACGTATTTATACACCCTATTGCTCTAAAAACTTTAAAAACACCTTTTTCACATTTAAAATTGACAAGATAATTAACTCAAAATTTCTCAGCTGTTATTTTTATAAGTTTACCATAGTGGGATAACAGATAACATTTGTGGGACTGGAACCATGACTGGGCGAATATTTTAGCAAACAAATGAGTAATCAAAACCAAAGAATAGAGTACCTCATAATCTAAAGATATTTGCACTAAACCTTCAACTTTAGCTTCGAGACTCGCAACAAGAGACCTTAGTACCTGTGGGTGGGGACCTGCTAAGCTAACAAGAACTCTTCAGTTTTAAATGTAATAAATGTGGCATGTTTTGAACATATTAAACTACAAACCTTAGTATGAGGATAGTTTTTGTATTATTATTGTTTCTCTTTTATTAAAGTTCAGAACAGTATAGTTGGATTCTTTGGAATAGTGATCAAGGTTTTCTCTACCGTGCTCTTTTACTTGTGAATTCCAGGCGTACTCTGCCTGCACTCCTTTCATTTTATTTAATAAAATAAGTAGGGCTATTTAAAAATTTAGTATCCTCAAATTTTCCTAATATTGCTTCTATCGAGCGCATCCGAGGTTAGTCACAATAAAAAATATTTTTAATACAACGTAGGTTCCTTTATTTAATTGAAACTCTTTGTTATACAGTTGGCCAAAATATTACCACTTCAACTTTGTTGAACGCTCCTGATGTTGTCATTAAGGCGAAATATAGTTTTTTGTCTCGGTTTTAGTCTCAGTAAAAGCTCATGTTAAATAGTCTGCTTAGAGAGCTCAGAGATGTCACTCTGATACACGATTTCCTGGACAGACTATTGTAAATATGTATATGTTACGGTTAAGTCCGATGTCCGGTTAATGTCGACATTAATGTTTGGGTTTGGTTTTGTTTTTGGTTGTTTTGTTGTTTGTTATTCTCGAGATTAACCGACTTGATTTAAGTATAGGAACAATATTTGCATTGTCACGGGTTTTTTTAACAGGAGATTGACACCTCAGTAGATTGAAGCTAAGAAACAAGGGCGAATGAAGATTCTGTGGGGAAAATGGGCAAGGACTAGAACCTCTCATTACATTGAGTGCGAAATGACAACCATTCGTGTCATAAACTTTGGCACGACTGATATCGGAGATGGAGAACTAGCCTTTGTAAAACCTTCTCAGATACTGTGAGATACTAATAAGTTATAACTCAACAAAGGGGGACACAATAGATTTAAAAGGTTGCGGTCTTCACTTCCGTACAATCTAAAATGTTCAAATCCATATTGATATCTTTGATCTTATAGTATTCAGAAACATACATAATAAAGGTTTCAAATCACTTCTGTTGTAAACCTTCGAAAGGACGACAATAAAATTATAATGAAAGATAAAAGGCTAAAGGAAATACGGAATTTGCACCCTGTCCTTGTTTGTTTAAAATTTTAGTACAATTAAAATAATTTTAATAAATTGCCTACACAGTTACGTACAAAAAAATTCAAGTCGTTGAATGTGTCACAGGGACAGTATTTAAGTTAATGCGGTGATATGTATTTAGATATTTGCGTAGATATAGCCAACAAAAAAGTCTACCTTGACCGATTAGTTACCTAAACATCAATAGTACCGACGAAAGGAACATATTGTTGGTAAAAATAAATCATAACAGGTTAATTATTAATATTTGTCGATATTATCGGTGTTAATGTCGACAAATTTTTGGGCTTATGATGTAGTACTTGAAGATTAATTAATGTTAGCAATAAATCTGAAAAAGTTGTTTGTACAACGCTACCTTGGAGTTCTTTATAAGGAAATAGGCTAATTTTTCAAGAAAAATAGATAATATATTGCTTTTAATTGATCTAATTATATTTGGATTTTTTTTGAAATAATATTTTTTTGATTACAAAGAAATCGATTTAATGAAAGTGGCTCACCTCCTATAACTTTTCTTATTTTTTCAGATAAAAATAAACGGTATTTAGTACGTTAGTATGTGACATAAATCAGATGTATTCAATTGTTTTCGGTCGCTTCTTGTTTCACCGAAAATAACTGCAACTACAACTTTTGATTGTACAACTTTTGTAGTAATTTCAGGTGAAACAATAAATGACCGAAAACAATTGAATACATCAATCCATCCTAATTTACGGCATATACTACCAAATCTCGTTTATTTTTTTCTGAAAAAAGTAAATAGAGTTATAGAGTCAGCCACTTTTGAGAAACATCCGGTATAAATTCAAAATCGGGTTGAGCTATTTTTATTTTATTTTATTTATTAAATAATACATATTTCTTGTGTCTGTTAATAAGAACCACGTACAACAAATACCATACCATCAATGGCGTCAAAGACGGCATACTTTTTGACAAGTTTTATGACAATTTTTAATAAATGACGTGTAGAAATTGACCTCGTCAAAATTATTATCGATTGTCATTCCCAGCCGTCTTTTACACTGTTTTTTTTTTCGTTTATAAGGTATTATGTATATAAAAAACAACTATTTCTTACTTCCAAACCTCAAGAAACTTCCTGCATTTATTATAATATAATTGATGTACAAATTATGTGTACAATGTACAGGGTGGGTCAAATTCGACGCTTTAAATGGAAACACCTTTTTCTATAGCAGATAGACGAAAACTAATATCAGATACCGATCTGAGCTCAATTTTCATCAAAAACATAATGGTGAAAACCGCACATCAATATCTGTTACCGTTTCGGAGTTACGGGGTGTTTTTCAAAAATGTGCATTTTTAACAAGTCGCTGTAACTTTTTTGCTATGGAAAATTTTGTATTTCTATGAAAACATTTTCAAAGCACCTTTTTACGTAGAATTTAATGGTTTAAGTATAATTTTTTTAAAATTAATAATTTAAGAGTTATCAACAGAAAAATTGATTTTTTATTTGGGACACCCAATAACTTTTATTTTATTATTTGGACAACCTAACCTAACCAAAAATATAGCACACTTGATATTTTGTTATATTCCCCTTCGAAATACAGAATTTTTAAAAGTTCGCCACTTTTAACTAGTAGGTTTTGGACCCCTTATTGATGATATGCCCTCAATGGAACTCAAAAACATATTTTTCCAGCAAGATGATGCACCGCCTCTGAACGCTGAAGTTACCAGCAAATTTTTGCAGCCACTTTCAAGAATAATTGAATAGCTAACCAAAATCCTAGCCGTTGGCCGTCGAGGCCGCCTGACTTAGGGCCAATGTATCTAATCCTATGGATATATTTGCGGAAGAATAAAGGTTCCTTATTCTTCCGTATAATCTAGACAAGAATTAGAAATACTTAGCAATTATGAGACGGTATCTTTCACCCCCACTGAGTTAATGAATTCCGCAAGAAATGTTCAGAAACGGCCCCGTCTGTCCATAACAGAAGATGGTCGATATAACAGAAGACGGTCGAACACCTGCAGCAAAATCTCATGTCTTGGTTTGCTATTTATTTTTATTATTATCAGATATAATTTAAATGTGTTGATGTTGGTTAAATATATTTTAAATTGTTATAAAATTTTGCATCTCTCATAGCAAATATTATTTTCGTTTTAATTGATGCTCACAGCTAGAATTTTTTTGCATTACAGCCGGTGCCATTCAAACCCTACTTATTTAAAGCGGGCAAATTTTTGTATACTCTATATCTCGAAGAGGAATCGAGCAAAATATCAAGTGTGTTATATTTTTGGAAAGGTAATTTTAAATTCTTTTCAACAAATTAAAGATATACAGGGTGTATCATATAAAAAACTAAGTTTTCTGTTGATAATTCTTAAATTATTAATTTAAAAAAAAATTATACTTAAACCATTAAATTCTACGTAAAAAGGTGCTTTGAAAATGTTTTCATAAAAATACAAAATTTTCCATAGCAAAAAAGTTACAGCGAGTTGTTAAAAATGCATATTTTTGAAAAACATCCCGTAAGTCCGAAACGGTAACAGATAACGATATGCGGTTTTCACCAGCATGTTTTTGACAAAAATTGAGCTCCAGACACCGATATTAGTTTTTGTCTATCTCCTATAGAAAAGGGTGTCTCCTCCCTTTAAAAGCGTCGAATTTGACCCACCCTGTACAAATAAAAAAAAAGTTGTAATATACAGGAATTATAGTAAATGAACAACATAACATAACATAAATAAAAAAATAGGTATTTTATTAGGTACCAAAAATTTACAAATACTACCTACACTACTACGCGAAAAAATAATTTTGAAAATATGAAATTTTGTGATTTTTTTATTTTTAGTTAGAAAATATAACATCTTGAATATATGGAAACATAGGGTCCATTAAATTTAGAAGTAAGAAAACTCTAGAGTAGAAGTTTTCAAAGTAGAATAGCACACAGCTATTTCGGGCTTATTTGAAAAACGGTAAAGAGAAAAAATTTCTCTTTTATCGAGATCTATCAGTCCAGAAAATATTTGCACTTATTTAAGACTCACCCTGTATAGCCACTTCCGGTTTAATCGAAAGTGGGTTATGGTCTTGAGTTTATAAAAAAATTAAATATTACTATTGTTACTTACTATATTTATTTTTCTTTTTTGCAGATTAGGCCAGTAATCAACAGAAACCCCTGTAGCCTGTAAGCTAAGCAAAGTTATATAAAATAAAGTGTAAAAAATCAAAAATAAATTAAAAAATAAATATCTTGTTCTGAGTAAGATATAGTATAGTAAAGTGATATATTTTTCTACTGGAACTGAAATATTGTGTGAGCAGTGCGATTCCCAGTTCATCTAAAAACAAGAAGCTAGAAAAAGGAAGATCAAGGAGAGATTTCATGGTTTTCATGGTAAGTTTTACACATACCACATTGGTTAATATTTATAAACGGACGTATGAAAACCTTATAATAAGGAAGTGTACACTGTTTATAACACTGTTTATAAACTTGGTTTAATATGTCAATAAGTGAAAACTTACATTACCCTTACGTATATTATATGTATAGTACAATTCTTTAAAAGTTCCTCAATATGGCCGACCTAGTTACGAAAATTGGTAATTTTTTTTTAATGAAAAATAAGTTGGCGTTAGCGAATTCAGAAATTCATTTACTCTTTGGTTAACAATAATATTTTTCAGGATTATCAAGTTGACGTTAAAGTTAGGTTATTAGGTGGTTGTCATAAATCATAAATAAAAACATAGATTATTGAAATTATTTAATAAGAATAAAGGTATTTTACCGCAGATCCGAAGAGATTTTACTTAAAGGTATTTTATAAACTTTCTCAGTCAGAATATTAACTCCCCTGTTTCTTATATTTCAGTTAAAGTGACGTAGGAACTATAGGAAGTGAATTTTTGTTTTCATGTTTTGACGATATCTGAGAGTTCCTAGAATTATCAAGATTATTGAATAATTATAGTTGTTTAATAAGTGAAATTAATAGAAGACTTGGAAATAGGATGATGCGTTTCATTTTATAGTTGATAGATCACCCCATTTCTCTTAATTTGTTTTTATTTCAATACAGTTAATCACAAATTGAATTGATGTGTGCAAAAACAGCTATATATTTTCAAACATCTTATTTAAATAGTTCTTTTATATACTGTTAAACTGTATCAACCACAAAGTCTTTAGCAAAAAGTTATAAGGTAATATTTTGTAGATATAATTTGTGAAAATTTATATATAAAGATTAAAACACAATCCTCTGAGTGAAAAAAATACTGAAAAACTCATTAAATATACTTTATTAAAAATAACAACATACAAAAACAGTTATCCATGCAAACTGTGATAATCAGAACATTATCCACATTATACCTTTATTAAATTTGTGTTCACACTTCTGTCAGGAAAGCCAGAAATGTTTGTTTAAATATTAACTTATTTTAGTTTGCCAGAAACACATCAAAATATGTCACAACCACAACTATAGGTTTGGAATCAGTACTAAATTTTATACCTAGTGATGCGTCAACTAACAAGTATAGGATAAAAAAGTATTATTAATATAGAGATGTCCTTCTGCTTATTTATGAAATGACTTTCCTTTCAAATGTGGGGAATACCAGTAAAATAAAACATAATTTTTGGTTTGGTTTGGTGTTTGATATTCTAACTACATCTATTACAAACCTTAAGTGCTTTTAGTGAGTAACTGTATTTTTTATTATTGTTTGTGTATCCTGTAAAGTAAAAAAATATATATTTCAAGAAATATAAAAACAATGCAATAGATATCAAACAGATTCATAAAAACTACTTACAATTATTGTACATATTATATATTTCAAGTGTAATTTGATCTTTGGTCCCATTACCAACATTATCTTATTTAGGTCTTCTCTACTAGCTCAACTTTTAAACCTGTTTTAAACCTTCTTTATATTTTAAAACTAATTTTCAACAATCTGTAATGCCCGCGCTGTTTCCTGAAATTAATATAAGTTTTAATCTATTTATTATCATATACATCTTACAAACCTGAAAATTACTGATACGAGGAAACTTTTGAAAATAATTAGAGACCTTTTTACAAACATCTGGACTAATTTATTTTCACGAATTTGTGGACGAGTCAATGTTTTCTAATTCGTTTTTAAGCGTTTTACACATTTTTTGAATATCTTCCAGCCTATTCCTCAGTTCTTGATCGGTGAAAAGATTATTTATAAGTATATAATTAGTACTGCATGCTGCAGGTTAAATAAAAGAACAAAATCAAGTAGAATTTGTAAACAAAAACTCAAAAAATAATGAAAATATTTAGAAAAAGGAACCGTAAACGTCAGTCGGTCAAGTGTCAGAGTTCAGTTAGATTTACCACAGATTATCAATTTGAACGATTTGAACTACAGTCGATTCCAGTCTAGAGATTTTCGTTTTTAAGCCTCCCATACTGAAGTCCGTCATATTGGGAAGTTTTAGGTGAAAACAAGTATATATGTATGTACCGTATGATCGAAAAAAAAAACGGCGTCCAGTTGGCTGGGAAATGAACACCGATGACGTTTCCCATATAAATTTACATATAAAATGACAGCGATCTTCATTCCATAGCCATCGCTGACGCCGTTTTTTCTCGATCATACGGTATTATGTATATATCAAAATTTAATAACTTTTTTAAAATCAGAATATGTGTGTAAAGCAGCTACACCGATTGCAGGCAGAACTGCAGTATTTATAAATGATTTTTTTTAAATCCTTAGATATTTTTTATCGCTAATGACTTGTTTATTCTTTTGTCTATCAATCAATCAAGAAATTCTCTTGCTTCGTTATTTTTTTCAAGGTATATGACGAACTAATAATACAAAGTCAAATACAAAAATTGACTTAGATCCAAGGACAAAAATTTTTGAGCCATGTAGACTAATATAAGATTTTTCTTACTTAGTTGCAAATGCAATAATTATACACATTATTATTTAAAATAAATTAGTTAAAAAAAATTTACAAATTGTACAAAATATTTCAATCATATAGTTCATACCAATTAAATTTCTAGTCACGTAATTAAGCTTGACGGCACAGCGTTGCCGACTTTTACTTATTTTATTTTAAACAAAATAGTTTAGGAAACAAAAATAAATTCATTATAAATATATACACAGTTATTATATTTACATCAACAAAACTCACTCCCTTAACAGAACTTAAGGGGCATATAGGCTTATAGGCTGTTACTATAGTCTGTCCAACGACAAGATCCTTGACAGTGATAGATGTGTCTGTCATTTTAATTTCAACGTAGTTTATTTTATTTTACTAAGAAATAAGTTGGTACAATTGGAACGCATAGCAGGAAATTTTAAAATTTGAGTGACAAGTGATTACTTCAAAATATTGAGAAAAAAACTCTATAAAAGTGAAAAAAAAACTAATCCAGTTATTTTATTAAAAAAACGGTATATGTGTTAATACAAAACAAACAAGAACAAAACACCACATACCAAAAATTATAAAAAATGAACTATTTCTTCCTTTCAAGCTTCAAGAAACTTCCCGCTTCCCGCGTTTATTATTATATTTATCAATATAACTTATGTACAAATACAAATTTGTAATATTCCACAGGAATAAATAAAACAACATAAATAAAACAAACTATTTTATTAATAATAACAGTTATCAAATTTTATACTTTAAGTTTTATTAATAAACTATAATACTAATTTTTTTAACCTAACCAAACCAAACCTTTTGACACTATTTTTCTGCAGTACTAAAATCCATTATTTACTTATCGTGTTATATCGATATTTTACAGTTACTCCAGTTTTTAGTACCTATACGTTTAGTACGATCCTTGTACCATATACTTATCTATGACGAGATGGTATACAAATTTATTGATGGTAATCAATAATAATAATCTTTATTGGTGTATGTATAAAACTTTCTGCCTGGGCACCGAGTATTAACTATAAACTGTGCTCTGGGTCTACAGTTAATTTTCCCTCGATTTTTCCTCCACTTGACTTCAAAAGACCCAAAACACACATAATAACACGAATCAAAATGCATCATCTTCCAAAACGCAGGGTATTTTACATAAGTTCACACATATTTATAACCTATTATTTGGCAAGACTTTGACAAGCCTCAAAAATCTAAAGGCGAGTTCATACGCATCGGCATCCGTTTGTCGTTCATCGTTCCATCAAACCAATAAAATTGAAATATGATCTGTCATTTTTGAAATAAACCAATAAAACTGGCTAAAAACAACAAGAGACAACGCATGACGGATTTGTATTTAAGCCCATCCATAGTTAACTTAAAAAATATTAGAAACTCTTTTTAGTAAAATTAAATAGATTGGTATGGACGTCATCTGATTTTCTTCTGTCATTGCCTGTGGAAATCTTACCGGAGAAAAAAACATAGTATACCGATTTTCCGTTCTAATAAGGTTGCGATGAGTTTTTTACAGCGCCTATTAAGCTATCTAGTACCACTTCGCACTAAAAGAGGTTCTAAAAAGAACAATGTTTGACTGCAAGGTCTGCTAGTAAAATTTTTTAAACTTAAAGTATCACAGCACAATTCATTTAAACCAAAAACTCGTAATACAATACGAATGATAATGTCGGGAAATAAATAGATAATCTGGCAACTGGAATTTTTTACAGCAGAGCTACCACCCAAATCCCCACCGGGAAATTTATATTCCATGGTTGGCAACAATGAATTTAAAAATCGCGCCCTCGATTACGTAACTAAAAGTTTAATTGGTATCACTTATAGAATAGAATTACTATAAATTTTTTTCAAGAAACTTGAATTTCTGCGTATAATTAACAATAGCCCTGTATATTAAGAAATAAATATTTCTTACACTAACAAAGGAAATAGTAAATAAAGACCTTATTCAGTCGTCACAGATAGTGTAAACTGTTAGCCGGAAGGCTTAAAATGTGAGGCAAATTGGTGGAACATTATCGAGAGGAACTATTGTTCAATTGAGGTTAATTAAATGATTTACATCGTAAAAATTCTTACTACGCTTGCATACAAGGTTAAAGTAAAGGGTTCGACTGGTATAAATGAAAAGTTTTGATTTTTACGCATACCTACCAAGTCTAATTAAAATCTTTTGTCATTTTGAATGTGTCATGAGTACCTAATAAGATTATAAAAATTGTAAATTATATAGTTTTTAGTTCGAATTAAAGAAATTTAAATAATGGGACTACAAATATTAGCTTCTGATTTACGAAAATTGAAAAATATCAATTGTCTATATTATACAGGGTGGTCCGAACTTTATTCCGGAAACTTCGTCAGCATATTCTGCAGATAAAAATAGGTAAAAAAGTTCTTATAAATGT